ATAGTTGCAAAAAATTATGAAATTTTGGCTTTAAACGATTCAAAGAATATAATTTTCAAGTCTTGTAAAAAATCCTATTTCCGTCGATTGTCATCTACTTTTAACATGCAATTTGCTTTCCTTGTTTTTTGTTTTTCGGCTAGTCAGTTTGTGGGAATCATGGACGCCGTTTGTATAYCTACTTTCTTCATGTGTACCATTGGAATGATAAATCTGCCCATTAATAAAATAAATTGTAAGGAGAATTGTTATGGATTTAAGGTAATCCAAGCAAGCAGCTGTAGCTGAGAATGTACACAATCAATGGATTTATTGAGAGAACACTTCTTTGAGAAGATAATTTCACATTTTGGGGCGGTCGATTGGCCACCAAGATCGTGTGATATCATACCGTTAGACTTTTACCTGTGGGGATATGCAAAGTCTAAAGTCTATGCGGACAATCCCACTTTAATTAAGGCCTTGGAGCTTGGAGCACATCATACGTGACAAACGGCAGTCGAAATGTTCGAACGAGTCAAGATGTGTATAAGAGACAGGGTTTAAACGTTTCTTTGTTAGTTTGGCAGGGGCTCAGCCACCAGTTGAACGCGTGGGTTTAGTACTTTGCATGGCGATTTCATTGCTCATTGTTGTTTATTGGTTTTCAAAATTGATTAAACTTTCCACAATAACCAAAACTGTTTCATACATAAAAAAAAGAGTGGAACACAAATTAAACCTTTCTTGTGTGGCAGCCTTAATTGTTCAACGACAACAGTGCCTACAGGCGCATCGGGCGCATCTAAGGAAACAAAAATATGCAAAATAACACTTACGATTAAAAATACTGTTTTTTAATGTGAAAAAATACTGGGAATTTTAAGCTTAAATGGGGATGAAATTTTGTAGTTCTAAGAAAATAGAAATTTGGAATAAATATGCATTATACTAAATTAAAATAGATTTTAGTTTAAAAAACGTATGGTTAGTAGAAATATTAATTACAATCGGATATAAATACATTTTCTGATAATGAATAAATTTTCAAAAATGTAGTTAAAAAAATTTTTATGGAACTATGAACCTTGCACTCTGTTATCAATAAATTATTTAATAATGAATAACTTTTTAAAAACATAGTTAAAAATTGTTGTAGAATTATGATTCTTTAAATATTTAGATTTAATATTCGCTTTTTTTACCAATTTTTTTTATAGTTTTTTTCCTCTTATAGCACAAAAATGTAAGTAAATTTATTTGCAACAATGCACAACTCCAAAAATGCTTTCAAAAAAATATATATACTAAGCAGACTTAAAAACAAAAAACGCTGAAATAACATGCCTAACCTTACTATATGAGTTAATTTAGTAACTTCTAAAAGAAAAAATATTTACTAAGTTTATTTTTAATTAATATAATTTAATTANAAAATAAAAAAAAATGTTTAAAATTTTATATTTTTTCGAAGGGTTTTCCCTGTTGTAGGGTGCAAAAAGTTCCAATTTATTTCTAAAATATTTGTGATTTATTGAGCAAAAGGATAATCTGCTTTAAAAATTTTGTATTATTTTAGTCGCATTTCGCTTAATAAATAAATGTAGTTAGAATTGGCTACAATTAAAAAAAAATTAAAATTTTCAAATTTTTTATAAATAAAGTTGTCAAATATTTAATTTTATTCAAAATTTATTCTTTTTTGGCATGCATCACCAAATAGCCCCTTAATTTCAATTACGGTAAACTAGTTTTGAGGCATGTTGCCTACATTTAGGCGCCTAGCTTTTACGTTTTTATCTTCGGAGGTTATTGAATGGTTTAAAATTTGTTATTATTATAAAAAAAGCTCGAAGTTTGAATTTTAAATACCAACTCTGAATTTAAGTTTTAATCTAAAATTTTTGAATATAAAAATTCGTAGCCTTGTATATATAATGCTGTCTCTAATAACGATATATCTGTTTCACATAGTATAAAAAATGCACTCTTTGAGTGGTAAACTAAGAAAGAGTAGAGCAGTCTAATATCTTTCACATTGAACCTATCATTTAGATAAAAATAAATTAATTGAATATTAATATTTACTTTTGTAATAAATTCGGAGGCCTGTATATAATGATGTATTTCATTTAGATATGTACATATATGTATATTTATTTAAGATAGGATTAGGGTTCCAAGATCAAAGAAAGATATTTTGCGAATATATTTCTTAAATATGGATTGAGTAATTTTATTCGGACTTTCTGTGCACAAATAATTAAATACAATCGTATGAATATTTGTGACACCCACTGTACTTTCATTTAGCCGTGTGTTACCAACTTTGCGGCTACAGCAATTACGTTGCATATGTTTAAATACTACATTTGTTTGTAGGCATGTCTTTATGTAGCACAAAAACAGTTAGCTTATTTATACAAAATACTCGTTGAATACATACATACTTATACATATTTATATATATGGTGTAATTGAATATTTTTCTGTACTCACGTGTATAACCGTTTTACGTCGCTGCAATTTCTTCTCACTCTCCTGCTCGGAGAGGAAATCTTGCTCATCATCAATCACGTCCAATTCGAACTTGTCGTCAACATCCTCGAACATGTAGTAATCACCAGCGCGCACAGCTAAACGTGTTGAAGGATTAAATTGAAAAGAAAGTGGCTAATTAGTAAAATAGCTTAAGACGCGTAGAGAAGATCCAATAAATAGGTTTAAAAGCAATTACATGAGTATATAGGTATATATATTGTTAAAATTGTAAGTAACTATGTACAAATGAAGCAAAAACATAACACCAGACAAGTATACAAGTAATATGAACAGCCATTGAAAATGTAGATATATGTATATAAAGTAATGTACAAATACGATTACTAATTGCAAGTATTGTAAGCAATTGTTACACACACACGATCAAATGCTCTATAGAAGCTAAGACAGAGCTAAAAGTAGTAGTTATGGTTAAGAATGCCGAGGCAGCGGCCTTCGAAAAACTACTCGAATCTAAATACCAGGCTGACCATGTTAAGCTAATCATTATATAACTTTAAATACATTATTTGTAAGTAAATCGACACCAAAACTAAATTTTTACTCCATTTCTATATTAATTTTTAGTAAATAACTACGTTATGTATGTATGTATGTAGTAGTAGAAGCGCGAATTGCAGAAATTACGGAGTAAATAATTAGTTTTTATAACTGTATATGGAATAATATACAGTTAGGTGCGT